GTAAGCTACCACTTACCAGGTACACAATTATTTTGTGAAGCACTGAGAAGAAAAGAATGCTGCCAATTAAAGTATGACCACCATTGATAATAAGATGAACCCCACTTCAGAGATAATGACACGGTAAGTGGTATCTCAGGCTTGATAAAATACAGGATTTTTTTAAGTGGACTTTCTTGACTTACTAGAAAGTCAGTCAAGGGCCTAGGGCCATTGAAAGAGCCTAGAAAGTGTCCTGTTATTGTTAAACCTTGCATATCAATAATAAGTACAATAACCCAAATTGCTATACAGTTACAAAATATATGTTTTCATTTTTAACTTCATATGCAAGGCAAACCTTTCATATCAAAAAGTACAACACCCATGCTCCTCAGTGGGCAAAAAGTCTCTGAGAGGTATTTCCTGCACTGCATGGGGTCCAGGAAAATTCTCAGGGCACTCCATCCTGGGAGAAGTTACTGGAGGAGTAGCCATCCGGGGTCTGCAGGGAGGGCAGGTATACTTGGAAACTCACCCTGCACACAGGTCCTGCCGGGCTATTTAGTGACATGTTCCCACACACTCATAGACTCACTCAGTAGGGGGTGTTTTTTTTTACCTGTCTGCTTCTGACACCAGGGCAATGCGGCCATAATCCCAGAATCTTCTTCTTATGATGGAAAATACCGAGATTAACAACTAAAATCAGGAAAGAAATTAAGTAGAAGTCTGTCGTACGGCTTTAACGGAAAATCCCTCCTACCCAGACTCAGCAAGGTGTGAAGGAAATCACAGGGCCCAGACTTGGGAGCGCCCTCAGGGCACACAGGGCAGTGGGCAAGCCTACAGGCACCTTTTGCACTCACTCCCAAGTTGTAGCAAGGCAGAACTGATGCTATGACAGCTTATTGCAACCCTGACCTGCATAGCACCTGAAGCGTGATAGCAGGATCTGGGCTTAAGCAATCTCTCTTATCTTTACATAATACTTTTACTTTTTTCAATGGCTCTTGTTTTGGCCACGGTGGCCTTAAACTCTTGATCCAAAGGCATCCTTTCTCCTGAGCTTCCTGAGAAGTTGGAAATATAGGCACGTACCATTAATCCTAGCTATACAGCTTCACTTATTATTATTATTATTACTATTTGGTATTTTTGGAGACAGGGCCACACTATGCAATTCAGACTATACAGGCCTTGAGCTCCCTATGTATCCCAGGCTGGCCTCAAACTTTTAGTGACCTTCCTGCCTCAGCCTTCCAAGTGCTGGGATGACCAGCATGTGTCATCAGGCCATTTGGAGGTTTATTTTAAATACAGAACTAGGTACTTGGTCTCTTTGGTAGAGCAGAGATGGCTGAGTTTCAGGTTGAGCTTCATTTTCTTTACATGCACCCTGCACATGGCTGCACTGCAGGTACACGAAATAAAACCTCACGAGGTCCTGGTGCTCTGGCCTACATCCACTCAGCAGCTGGGGCAGAGCAGCAGGCCTGTGTCCCAAGCAGCAGGAAGGTCCCATAGGTCCCTCCCTCTGATGGCTCCAGACACCCAGGAACTCTCGACTGCCTGTTCACCCCTCCCCAGTCACCATGTATACTTTCCCTCAAGGTTCAGGGAGGTAGAGTGAGACATCTCCATTGCCAACACTGCCGGCTCTGGACTGAACCTGGGATTGACTGATTTGTTTATTGAGTTTGCAGGACTTGGTGTGCACTGAGGACCTCCCATATGGCAGGCAAGGCTCTACCACACAGCTGTGCTTCTAGCCCAGAAATGAATTTTAAAGGCAGGTCTTGTTTTCCTGAAGGGAACAGAAAGGGCCTGAATATACTCGAAGCCCTGAGCCCCAGGGAGATCACCTCAAGAGAATCAGGGAGGTGGTCACCTGTTCTTGAAGGTGACTGAATCTCAGCATGGAAAACCATGATGCTGCTGCACTGGTGCCTGAGCTGGGTCTGCAATAAGCCCTCTTATGCTCCTCAGAGGCAAGCTCATGCTTGGCAAGTGTGAGGCCAGGTTTAATCTCAAGCAACAAAGGCAAAAAAGAAAAACCCAAAACAATAAAGCCACCTCTACAAGGCCAGATGTGGTGGCATATGTGTATATCTCTAGCTACTCTGGAGGCTGAGACAGGAGGATGGCTTGAGTCTAGGAGTTGAAGCCCAGCGTAGGTATCATAGCTTGACTTCATCTATCTAAAAAGTCACCACCATATCTACCACAGCACAGGTCAGCCTTCTCCCTGACTGGCCACCAGCGTGCTAGTGGTGAGGCCAGAAGAGGAGATCGCATGCGAGCAGTATCCTGCTCTGATTCAAGCACATCACTGCCTCCTTCATCCCTGAGACTCACCCTCTCAGGCCTTGGAGAAGCAGGCAGTCCCTCTGCAGTTGAGGCATACAAAAAAGCAGCTGTGGTTCTACACACACAACCTCCCTAGGCTCCAACACTCCCCAAGGGAGAGATTATCACAGAGTCTACACTTTCTAGAGCAGGTGCAGCTGCCACACGCCCTTGGTGACAGCCACACAGCAGCAGCAGAGCTGTTTGACCTCTCACCAGAGGGTGCCACAGGTCCTGGGGTTAAACATACACTCAAGAGGGGCTGTGTTCACAATGGTCTCACCAGGAAGCAGCAGACATCTAGGAGCAGGACAGTGGGGATGCCGCCGAAGGTGACCCCCTGGAGCACAGTGCTGTTTCTGGCTGAGTTGTAACAGTAGGAGTCATTGGGCTTGTCTCCAAGGCCCAGCCCCTCCCTGAGGGACACAGTCTTGGACCACCACAGCTCCAGTAATGGGGAGTCGATCATCGCACCTCCCCTCCCTGCAGAACAAGACAAGAGAGAGACAGTCAGCATGCAAAATCTCTTCCAGTCTCCCCAGTGAAGGAAGGCTGGGGCCTGCAGGATCCAGCAGCACAGGATCAGGAGAGCTGGGCCCTGGACTCCAAGAGCCAGCCAAATGTGGGGACAGTTGCCCCATTATGAGAGGGCCTGGGATGGTCGATGAATGCAGTGATGGCTCATCCAGGGACAGAATGGGGCTACCCCAGAGGGGATAAGAAAGGGAGTACAAAGTTTGTGTGGCTTTTGCCTGAGAGAAGCTGAGGTCGCTGCAGCCTTAGGGCTTTTGGTGGTAAAGGACTTCCTGTGGGAGCCCCAGGATACCAAGCGAGCAGGCCGGGGTAGAGACCTGGCTTACTGGAAAACACACTATGGGCCCAGTGGAGCCACAGCTGGGTCTGGGAGGGAGAGGGACCTACAAGCACAATGGGTCCAGTGGCCTGCCCAGCATATGCAGCTGCTTGAAGCAAGGCTTGTCTCCAAAAGCCTCTTTTCCTAGACATCGACTCTTGCCAGGGACAGCACAGAAAATTTCCTGAGAGCCAGGAGAGGGAAGAGCCACTCAGAGGGCAGAAAATAGGAGTAGGTGGGGGTACAAAGGGCAAGCAGGACCCACTGCTGTCCCTCATCTTGGTGTCTTTCCTCTGAGGGTCAGCCTTTTCACAACAAACTCTGCCTTGGCTTGGGTGCTGGCCTGTCCTGCTGACCCTTTAGTGTCTGTTGCCTGGCCGAGATTCAGTGCCCAGGTCCTCCTTGCCTCTACACTGTGGCCGAGCAGCCAGGAGAATGTGCAGCCCCCTCCTTCACGCTACCTTCCCAGCCTGGTTAACCCAGACCTCCCAGGGGACTTCTGTTTAGTCTGCTCTTTCTACTTGGGGGTGAGGAAGAAAAGTGTGGGGAGCCGAAGCAGTAGCCTGGGTTTCCTGGAGAAGTGGTGGGATATTCCTGTGTGGGCTGATTCCTGACTCTTGGCCTGCCCAGCTGTAGACCCCACACAGAAAGATGTGCAGGGTAAGGACTGCAATCCAGGGCACAGCAGGAGCGGTCACTGTCTCACCGTGTAAGAGCCACTGCCTGGCTGCAAGTGGCGGGGCATGACCACTGAACCAGGCTTGGGTGGCTCCCAGCAGTCACCTCTAGGACAGGAGTTCCTGGTTTCCTCCTGTAGGCCACTCCCAGGGTACCACCTCCCGGGACACCCCACCCCAGCAGTGTCAGGCCTGTCCCACCCCTCCTTCCTGGTTCCACACTGACCAGTCAGGTGGGGAGGACCAAGGACAGGGTGTTGAAGTCCCCAGGGTGACAGCGATGGCAGCCTGAGAACCTTCAGGCCTAGCACCAGGCTTTGCTGCCACCCATATCCTTTCAGCTTTCCCAACACTGTGACTGGCAGCTCCAGGCTGGCACTGGAGCCACCTTCTTCCGGCTTAGGGGTTCTAGATAAGACACCCTGAGTCCTTCCTCTGACCAAACATCTCTGAATGCAAATGTCTGCATGGGGCTTCTGGTTCTGCCTCGGAGGTTCCTTCTGGCCCTGGCTCTCCCCTAAACTCCCAGAGAAGGTCCCCATCCACTGTTCTACCCTGTCATTGTGCTCATCTCTGAACACACAGTGGCTTAAGCCTCTCTTTCTCCAAGAATCCCAGGCCCTGCACTGTCATTGTGGCCGCTGAGAGCCCCCAGCAAGGCCTCACATGGGCCTGAGGTTGCTGCTGCATCCTAAATATCCCCAAGGCCTAGAGGTAGGAAAGCAGAACACAGAAAAACAAACAAGGATGGCTTGGAGAGTGGAGTGGAAAAGCACAACCACCCTCATAGGGTGCCCATAGGGCATCTGTGGTCTCTGGAGAGAAGAGGCTGCTGGGTGGGTGGGGGATGGTGTGGTGGGCAGTGCTGACATTGCTTTGTGTTTGGATTTTGGACAGACATGCCCGAGGGACGCTATGTCCCTTCCTTTGCCATCCAGTCACACCTGCAACAAGGCATTGACTTCTTGCTACATTGGGTGGGTGTAGTGTCCAAAATTTGCTAAGAATTAAAGGTCAGCTAGCAAGCATCCAGCTGGGATTGGAGCTCAGGGAGGGTCTCTGGGCTCCCTCACCCAGGTGGCCTGTCCTCTGGCCCACTTCAGATGGGGGAGAAGGTCAGGGCACAGCTTATGACCTACAGTTTCTCAGGATCTTCCAGCCCAGGCCTTGCCTGTGACAGGCAAAAAGTCAGACTCTCTGTCCCAGCTCTAAGAGGAGGCCTCAGTGCCTCCCTGTGATGGCAGAGGTGGGGTACACCTGCAGGGGCAGCCCTATGAGAGGAGAGGGGCCAGGCCAGCAACCAGGACCAAGGGATGTAGCCTGCCTAGCACATGAGAGACCAGCACCACAAATAAAATGTTAAAAGAAAAACTTAGCAACTAGACCTGTGCGCCCCCAGAAGCTGGGCTTCATCTCCTTGGCAACATTCAGTCCTGTATTTTTCAGGTACATGCAAGTGGAAGCAGCTCTACACCTATCCGCTCACTGCTAGCCTACAGCCTGAGGTGGGAAAGTCCCAGATGGCCCCAGCCTCAGCCCACTGTGCAGCCTGCGAGGGAGACAGGGCTGGATCCATCAGCAGGTCTCCAATTTGCTGAAAAAGTCAGCCAGCCACCTGTGCGAAGCACCACCTGCCTGAGCTGGCTTTGAGGCCTGGCTCCTGCAGCAGACAGGACAGTCTTGTGGCTCCTCCCAGAGCCTCAACAGGAGACTGCAGGAAATATGTGAAGCAGGCAAACTCCCAGGGTTCGGGTGCTCTTATGGTCACCAAATCTTCCAGGCCTGTCTGATCACAGCAAGTCTACTGGCAACTTTAGTCCTTCTGCTTCTGCTCAGTCAGGGCCAGGGTAAGGTTGCGAAGCAAACGCAACTTCTCAGGGCACTGCCAAAAGGATCTGGGGGCCTGGAAAACTGTCACCTCTGCACAAGTCAGCCCTGGAGCTAAATCAGGAGGCTGTGGGTGTGTGCCAGGTGAGCAGACTGGAGCTGGAGCAGGGCTCCACACCACATGTTAGACACTCTCCCACTCTGTGCTTTGGTGTCCTTCTCCATGAAACAGGGGTGCCTGAGCCATGTCAGTAAGCACTCAGCCCTGGGCTTGGTTTAGGGGCTATGGAAAGCCATCTGTGTCCCTACCCTCACCCCTAGGTAACAGCAGCAAGCCTGCCTGATGTCCTCTCTGCTTGAGAGGTTGAAAGACAGCTCTGACCCAGCCCTGAGCAGAGAGATTGTGAAAGCAGCAGGGGGCCTGGCTTATACCTCCACCCTGGGGTGGAGCAGGCTGAGCATAAGGGGGTGGCTGGGGCAGGAAGGAGGTGTTTCCCTGGCAGAGGCTGCTTCTCTGGTTCCACCAGTGCCGGCCAGGTCCCCCCTCTGGGCCCTTGTGACCCCAGGTACTGTCCTGTTGGTCCCTTTCCTTTGCCAAACGGTAAAACGTCAGCCAGCGCGGGTGGGAGATGCCTGAGTCCTCTGGTCCATGGCGCTGCCGACCCACATGGGGTCTCCACCGATAGAGGCTGCTGTTTAAGAGTCCCGTCCCATCAAGGCTCCAGCTTTCTCTGCCTCCAGATTGGCGCGCTCGCTGACCCCTATCCCCCTGGCGTTTCTGGGGCGACTCCGGGTGGCGGCGCCCCTACCCTCGGGGGCGTTCGCCCCTTTGGCGCGTGGAGTCCCAGCCGGGAAGTTAGGCTGGGGCCGACACGCATGCGCAGATCGCTCTTGGGTGGACAGCCGGCCGGTTGTGCACAGGGCACTTCATACACACCAGGTCCAGTCTGCAGCCTGCGCTGCACTCGCTCTGTCAGAGCTTTTGGGTCCCCAGCCCTGGATCTCCAGGCCGGACCCTTCCCCAGTGCAGAGTCCCACGGGATCTCAGACTTATCTTCCAAACTTCTCTGTCTTATTACCATCAGCAGCGCTGATGTTAGGGTAGGGGTGTTGCCTCCCTGCTCTCTCAGTTTATTTCTATGCCATCAGGCTTCTACCTTGTTCCCCCAAACCCCAAGGTACTACTTTTCCCCAGCTCTCTCCTTGTTTCTTCTTGGGGCTGCTTGGTTAAGACACCTGCCTTCTCTGATTCCTATTTTTGTCAAGGACCCACCTGAACTCTCAGGTTCCTAGATGTGACCCCTTTGTCCCCTGGCTCCTCAGAGTGATCCTTCCCCATCTTATCCTTTTCAGTGGATGGTGTCCCAACTGATTAGAGTGGACATGGGTCCCGGGAAGGGAAGGGTTCTAGCCCCAGCAATGTTATATTAGAATGGAAGAACCAGTGGGGTGGTGGGGGTGGGGGTAGGATCCCTAATTTCTGATGGGTTAATCTCTCTAAACTTATTCTTCGGTAGGTTATTTCAAATCAGGAGCAGGCTGATATGGATCAGTGTATGGGTTACTCATGCCCTGTATGAAGTGGTTATACTGTCACCCTCATAAATGATATAACCATAAAAGGACATGACAAAGTGTGTTTTATTTGTGTCCTGCAAAGCTTTTATTCTCTGGATGAGGGTGCACAGTCTAACCTGAATCCAGGTCTCAGGCCCAGAGCTCAGCCTAGGTCTACTGACAGGACAAGGGTGAACGTGCAGCTTCTGCCATTATGCTATAGCATCAATACAGGAGCTCAGGACGCTGCATGAACCACCTAGGAGGGAATCTCATTCTTCGAAAGCAAAATGTAGAAGGTGGGTTGATTCAGAGGAAGCAAAGCTAGAGCTCAGTGGCAAGCACAGCACGGAGACCCACCCGGGCTCAGCAATCCCAACCCTGCCTGATGCCCTGGAACACTCCAGACACACAGAAGCCTAGTCCTGGGCGCCCCACCTCAGACACAGCTGCACTTCTGCACTCTCCATTTGGCAAGCTGAGCCCTGGGCTGGCTTCTGCCTCCATCTTTGATGCCAGCCACCACAGGTACTGAAGCTGTCTGCAAGGTGGTACACTGCCAGGGGC